GCTTGCAGGGAAGCGGACGATATGGCACAGGACCCGATGGAAATGCGAATTTGTGGTGCCTCACTTCTGTGGGGGCATTGCAGAAAGATGGCTGCCGTCATGAGGGCATATGGCACAGGGCCYGACCGTCAGTCCAAGGAGGGCGTCCTGGAAAGTTGCGGTCACTACCGACAAGGGCCTGCGAAAAATATTTTTTGGCCCAGGGGCGCGACACGAAATAACGCAAATTACAGGGGCGCCAGACAAATTTTCCCTAAATTTAATTACAAGAAAAACACTTTATTAAAATAAAAAAGATTGAGGCGCGGAATCCCTCAACAAACAACCCGCAAAACAAATCTGGGACCATAACCCAGCTTAGGTGCAGGCGTTGGGAGAAAACACCTTGGAACAGAATGGCAAAATCCAGACTGCTGTCCTGTAATCTCCACAACCCTGGGGGGAAAAAAAACAATGCCCTCACTGCCCACGAAGCCTCACAATCCTAGAAATCCACCGGAATAAAACAATAACCACAAGGCCTTTTCTCTGGTTTCCGTTTCCTTTATCTTGAACAACAGAGTTAAAAAAAACGATAAGGTAAATTCCCATGAGATAGGTTGGTCGCATGACTCTTTTGTTGTTGGGAAGCCTGATTGTTCAGGCCGTCCACTCGGTGAATTGCTTTTAGGCAACCTGGTTGTTCAGGCCCCACACTCAGTGAATTATGTCATAGAGCCCGTCAGAGCCAATGTGTTATTATTTCTCTGGCGTCGAAGGAATGATGAGGTTTGTGCTGTGACCCCGGTGCTTCACACTCTTATTGTTCATGTCAAGCCGGCTCTGTGGCAGGTCGTCAACACAGATTGGGAAAAAAAAGTGGAAAAGGCATCTTCTTTGGTCGAAGGGGGCTTCGTCATGTGTGTACAGCATTAGGCCATGTGCCCAAAGTTGGCGTCCATAGACTGTTGGCGTGGATGACGTTTGGATCCTTCTTGCTTGATGATACCTTGGGGGTGTAGTTAGTATTGACTTGTGTTGTGATGGGCTCGTGTCATTCTGTTGTCGTTCTTCTTCTTTTTCTTTTTCTTTCTACACCTGTTAAGTCATTTCACAGAGTTGAACTACATGTAGAGTCAAGCTCAACAGGGCCTTCTTTCCCCGCCGATTCTTCAATGTTGTCCTTGTTTTTTCTTTGATGGCTGGAAATTCCTCAAAGATATGATATGAAAAGTTGGAGGGCTTTGTACCATCCATTCACGGATAACAGACTTTTCATGAAGTTTTTGTTAAATTTGAAATAGTTTTCTCACGCGATGGAATTTAACAAGGATTTTTTTTGCCTCCCTTTGTGTGTGTGTGTGTGTGTGTGTGTGTGTGTGTGTGTGTGTGTGTGTGTGTGTGCGTGTTTTAATTTGGTGCCAATAACTCGGTGTTTAATGCATACTGACAATCAAGGAACCCAAGCATCTGCAAGGGTCGAAAGTGACAACAAAAAAATCCTGGTTCAATTTCATCGTGTGAGTCAGTTGTATAGCTGGATTTCGCTCAACTGCCTGAGGCGCTTGCAGAGCACGCACTTCACTGTTTAAACTTTACTAAGTTTTGTTAACTGTTTTAACTAATGATTATGATGAGAAACTTATACATGGAGTCTATTTCTATTCTATTTCTGTTATATTTCATTTTATTTGTTTAGTGTTTGATGCTTTTAAGAAAGAACATAGGACTGGTATGCAGGTGTCTGCAGCTTATACTCTTGGTGGTACTGCAGCACCTGGGGCCAAGTCCCACTAGCAGCGTTGGATTTCCTCAACGCCTGCATCTGGACATGTGTTGGTGGAGATCTGCAGAAATTGTGTTCAGTTTCCTCAACCACACATCTTCACAAACACGTCCAGATTCGGGCGTTGACAAGACTCAACGCTGCGAGTTGGACTTGGCCCCTGATTACCCCAACGCCTGTGGATGTGTTTGTGGAGATGTGCAGAAGTCGTGTTCAGTTTCCTCAACCGCACATCGTTTCGAACACGTCCAGATTCGGGGGCGTTGAGGAAACTCAACGCTGCTAGTGGGACTTGGCCCCTGATGAGTACCCCAACGCCTCTGGACGTGTTTGTGGAGATGTGCAGAAATCGTGTTCAGTTTTCTCACCAGCACATCTTCACAAACACGTCCAGATTCGGGCGTTGAGGAAACTCAATGCTGCTAGTGGGACTTGGCCCCTGATGAGTACCCACGAGGCTGAAAAAAAAACATAAGTGTGCTAGGGATGTGCACTATTCTTTTGGCGTTAGGGAAGGAAACTACGCTCGCTGTCTTGGTCATCTGGTCTGTAGGCATCAACCATCTGGTTAAAACGTTCCCCTTATTGTGTGTGTATTACTGTGTAAGTGATGGTGGGCTCTCTGCACGGGCCAATCTTCGTCACCTTTCTGTAGCTATCTGCAGTCAATGCGAAGAAGTTATGGGGCAGTGGCAAAGGAAGTGGCGTTGAGATGTATGGCGTCTGCGGCTGACCTTTGTAGCAGAGGAGAATGGATTTGGAAACAGCAAGGCTGAACAATGTTTATGCTTGGCTGGCTATTCTCAATCACAAGTTTAAATGTTGTTTGTTTCCAAATTTAATGTTGTTCTGATGTCTGTGAAGAAAAAGGGCCTGTGCCCTTTCACTATAGATGGCATACCACGTCAACCGGACAGCATTGTTGGGCAACTAATCCATGGTGTCGAAGATGAAGGTAAGGGTACAAGAAGTTGTCTTCTGTTCTTTTGCATGGGCATGTGTGCCATTGAGGAATCATGTTCAACCTTGTGGGCTCTCTTGAACCACCAGTCCCTTGACGCACAAAAAATCGAACTACCGGTAGGCTGGAAGTGGAAAAATGTTGGACCTACCGGTAGCAGCAGCAGCAGCAGGTATAAAAATAATGTCAAAAAGATTCAAAAGTATGCCGCAAGAACTTTTTTTTTGCTATCTTATCTCTCGAATTTTCAAATGTTTTTTTCCTGGAAAGATCAGCACCCAACCTACGGCCTGGGTTTCTTCAGGTTTTTTTTTTTTTTTAAATGGGCGTTACAGAAAA